CGCTAGTGACCCCTTCCGCTAGTGACCCCTTCCGCTAGTGACCCCTTCCGCTAGTGACCCCTTACGCTAGTGACCCCTTACGCTAGTGACCCCTTACGCTAGTGACCCCTTACGTTAGTGACCCCTTACGCTAGTGACCCCTTACGCTAGTGACCCCTTACGCTAGTGACCCCTTACGCTAGTGACCCCTTACGCTAGTGACCCCTTACGCTAGGACAATCCAATCCCTGCAAACCTTTTTTAAAGTACAGCTATACAGTTTCGTAGTAAAGGAGTATTAAAATGTCAAATTTCGTCCTGCTAAGAGGTTGTTAATCCACCAGGTTGCGGGTTTTTACTTATTTTATATGTATTTTAGATTGTCTGGAAATCCTCCTACAAACTAGGAGTCGGCAGAGCCGTGAAGAGCGTTGGCAAAAATGGATACCTGCAAACCGTAATTGTGGCGCGGTACAGTCCCGCTGGAAATATTCGCGGTCACTTCGAAGCCAATGTGCTACAGCCTAAATAAAGCACAAAGAGTAGAATGTGGAAATAGTTTCACATCAAGAAAAATTATTCTGCATGTTTTCTTCGTATATAATAATTTTTCCTGTATCCAGTGATCAACTGGTTGTTGTTGATTTTCGTTCTGTAAAAGTCGAGATCGACTGCTTTCATGGCGGTTTACCCCAGTCCTTCCGCGGATTGACGAAACTAAGGAGTTAGTGAATAACATTTCTCTTCTAGACCCCCTATAAAATACCTCGGCTAATAAATGGTATAGTGTGAAAACAGATAGCTTGATGAAGTTAATGTTTATTGTCGACAAGCTTAGTGTTGAATGAGAACTGTGTGTTATTCTATTAGCGACACCCATCGAGGGACGAAGGATTTTATCGGGAACTATCATTATTTGACAAAAGTTATCACCACGAACTAAAATCACTAAATCCACTCGATTTGATCTTTTTCTTTGAAGGCTGCATCGATGGATCAATGTCTTGAATGGACTTTCTACGAAAAAAAAAATAATAATAATTGATAACTTGATAATGACGTTTGATAACGTCGAAACGTCGTGTAAAAATTTTAAAAATTTTATCAACAAAAATGTCTTATCGCAGAACTTTATTGTTAAATGTTTTTCTAAAACTCTACTTATACGAATAATAATAATAAACATATACATAGATCAAGCTTCTTATACAGCACACTAGCGATGGGCTGTTTCTTTGTTTGTTCAGTGTTGTTGTTTTTGTGTGTGTGTGTGTAAAAAATAAAAGTGTTAAGCTACACTTGAAGTAACGCAATGTACTTCAAAAAACAGAATACATGGTTATTACCCGATGTTCTTGGGAATATACTTTCCAACTGCTGATCCAGGGCGGTGTATTGTTGGACCTGCCTCCGCTGCTGCCCTTTTTCTAGCCTTGTCATCCTCTTCCTTCAATCAAACAGTAGAAAAAAGGTTTCGCATTAGCTTGACCATCTCCGCAGGCGACTCTACCCTGCGGGAATGCTGTGTTAAAGTAAAAAAGCTTTCGGCACTTTTTCAGCAAGGCTTCGGAAAAGTCCGTTCAAAGACCTCACCTCGATCTTGTATATTGGGCATTATTATTTATTTTTGGTAACCAGCGTTCGCGTACCAACCTCCGTTGCAGACGTCTTATGTAGTTCACCGGTTGCCCTGCAATGGAGGCTACTTACATTCTCCATGACCAGACCCGGATGTGGCCTCAAAACAAATATTTTACTTTTGACCTTCTCACTCGGGTATCAACAAGTAAAATACTAAGCAAGTAAACTATAGAAATAACAAGAAAGGATCAAAAGGAGAGAAAAACATACTTTTTTTTGTCTTTCTTGTTCAGCCGCTCTTTGCTTCTCTTCCTCCAGCTGTAAATAGAGAATACGTGGTTCAGAATTATTCTACGCGGGAAATGTGTATCGTCAGGAGACGGGAAATCATATTGTGTATCCTGATCATGTTGATGTTTTGTATGGCTTTTTTTCAGTATCAAGAATTCGCGTCATGTCATTTTATAGCGTCGACTTGCTATGTAAGGACCGTCTCACCCACTCCCCCTCGGTATAAAACAAGGTAACAAGCAAATCAAAACACATTTCTCTACTCACCACTGCATCAACCTCTGAAAAAGGATCGGTGAAAACCATTGTCTTTAGTATCTTTATTGTTTCCTGGAAAGGTAAAGTTTTACATTTTATACTAGTTCATGTTCTCTCTTATTTTACTATGCAGGGCCGCCTGTATTGTTAATCGATTGTTAACTAAATAATCTCCACTCCAAGCAACTTTTCCCCTTCTTCCTTTGTAACGGTCAGGGTTTGATCGCTATAAGGACTAGTTAGCATTGTCACTCTTCTGGGCTCCCCGTAAAAAGACAGGAAGCCCATGACTCTTAGTGATGCCTGTTCAGAGGAGGTTAAAACTATTCGACAGTGTACCAGCCAAGAGTATTTGCGCGAAAGAACTTGTTCTAATTTAGCCTGGCCAAGCCTGGGTAACATCCCGACAATTTCTCGGAAGTGACGCAAGCTAAACCAGGGGCCTTGAACAATATGGATGTTCTGTTAACCTTTGGCCGGTCTTTTTCATCTCTTTCTATTCTTTCCATTGCATCTAAAGTCTCCATTCCTCCAACAAGCCTGTTAAGATGAAACAAGATAAATCAATCAACGAAAAAGATGAATTTATAAATAATCGTCTTCTACATGTAAACCCAACATTTTTCTGAAAAGCAAACCTCAGCAACCTTAATAAACGACCTAATCATCTCCTAAATCAACCAATCAATCATTTGATCGATTAATTCCTTAGTAAAGCAAACCTTTCAACCCACCAATTGCAATAACCAAGCACGCATTATCAAACTATCAATTGTCCAATAAAATCAAAGACGCATCAATCAAATACAATATTCACGCCACATACTTGCCAAACACACTGTGTTTTTGATCCAAATGTCGACAAGAACGAAACGTGATAAAACTAGAAACAAATAAAAGTTGTTTAAAACTTATTATGTAAACAATAAATCAAAACAGTGACTGTGTACGATACTCACAATTGAGATTTATTGGTGTTGGTTCCCGAGTTTGCCATACTTAAAACGCCTCGGCCTAATAAAACAGAAACTAAATGATTAACACACTATTGCAACTGTGAAAAACACACAATCCTTCTATACTTAAACAAAATGTAAAAGGTTTTTGGTTATTTTACATGGTTATTTTCATGTTTTATTTGCAGCCCTTGCTGTCCGTCCAGGAAGCCTGGCAATATTGATAGAGTATGCAGTCAGGCATAAATGGGATATTACATACCTTGGTGCACTAAGTTAGGTCTGAATTCATCTTTGAAAGCTGGTCCCCACGCTGATTCACCACCTGAACAATAAGCAATTATAATCATAATTAAAAATAACGATGATTAATTAGATTAGCGTTAATCATACAATGCAAAAATTCCTTACTGGCCTCGAAGTAAATTTATAGTAACTTTTATCTTAGTAACTTCATACAAAGGAGTGTCCAGCAAGAGATACTTAATCAATATATGGACATCATTACCTTTGCCAGTTCCAGTAGGATCACCCCCCTGAATCTGAAATCACATAACAATGCATTAAGTACCTCACAATACACTGGTCAATCATTAACATGAATAACTTGTTATAATTAGACTACAAACACTTAATTGTTTGTAACACATTCCACTGTTAGAGCTAAAAACATAGAGCTAACTTAACAATGGAAATAACATAATTTACGAGTTACTGTTCGGTCGGTCAGTTGTAGACTTAACAATTTGAGGTTTAAAATAAAAATTTTAGGTCAGTTTCAAAACCTTTGAAATTCAAATTTAGGAGTATTAGTGGTATTTATGTTGTCTCACCATGAAATGCTTGATGGATCTGTGGAAGACTGCAAAAAGAGAAAGAACAAGATGTCTCAAAATTAGGGTTGTTATTCTTCTATACCACAATCACATCCAATACAATAAATAATATTACTCCTAGGACTATTATCTATAATGCATCCCCTCATGTGTAATCTGCCAAACACTATAATTGATTGATAGATAATTGATAAAATATTGAATATCCTTTACTTGTATTATCGTAGTAGCCACGTGAACAAAGCTTGATAAAGTTCTCACACGTCTTTGGCACCTAAAATGAAAATATTGTGAGTCATGCTAACATCATATATTAGCAAATGATATTTAAAATGCTTAATTACAATTGATACATACGTAGTTCAAAACATTAAAATAAATACTGACCATGTCACAATGTAGTTCTAAATTCAAATCACCAAGATTGGTCTGTAGTCTAATATAGCCTGAAATTACACAATAATAAACCAAAAATGTTATTTCAAGATTCTCTACACTACTTTGAATAAAGTATTCAATTGTTATTGTTATTGATAAAATCTGTCAATCAATGATTAGCAAATCAATAGTAAGGAAGTGCCTACCTTTCTTCTTCACTTCCCTGTATCGCACGACATCTTTTTCCACAACAGCTGAAATGAACATTTTAGCACTGATTGACAATAATTCATTGTGTTTTCAAATGAATTCTTTGGATTCATAAGAAATACAAATTAAAAAAAATATCATCAAATACGTACCAGTTTCTTGCACTGTGACCCTTTCTCTTGCTGTGGATGTAAATGACTGAGCAACTGCACCAGTGGAAAAATGTGCCTTCAACAACAAAATGGCAATTATTATTAGTTACTTATTAGTATTCTATACCCAACTATTAATTGCCATCTGAGAATAAACACCTCATGTTTAAATAATATCTATTTACTCACTTTCGAAAAAAAAAAATGAAAGTAACACATTCTTGGTTTATAATTATATGATAGCCTACGTCCCCTCAGGGGGAGGGTTGTATTCTTGGTGGTACTGTTCATTCAAGATCCTATAGGATCTACAGAGTCTTACAGGATCCTGTGCAAGATCCTATTCAAGATCCCACAGGATCCTACAGAGTTTTACAGGATCCTGTAAAAGAACATTTCAAGATCCCACAGGATCCTGTGCAAGATCCTATACAAGATCCCTGGACCCTATCAGTGAGGATCCTGTGCAAGATCCTATTCAAGATCCTATAGGTTCCTACAGGATCCTGTCTAAGATTTGCACCAGGGAAAAAATTTTAGGAGATATTCACGATTTCTCGTGTTGAAAATTCCTATGAATAAATTTGCACTGCATGAATCTTTGAACACTAATAATAATTAAAGTAAAATGTAGTTCATTATCATTTGAAATCTTACAGCATTGCGATCTGTTATCAGTTCTTTTCCTTCTTCTTTTTTCTTTTCCTATAAGACAAGGAATATTATTATCTCATTTTAAATGACTGCTTTATAAATATGGCAGACAGATGTCAGTTCTTACTGGCTCCTTATAGGTTTTCTTCAGTTCGTCCAAGACACTTTCTGTCTCCTTATTAGCTTTGTTTAGATAGTATTTTGGGTCTTTCATTGCTTTTTCGTCATCTAGGGTTAAAATCAAGACATAAATAATGCTTTTAAAATCATATATGTTTAGATTATTATTATAAGACAATATTTTAACCACATTTATTTGACAATCTTACCATTATCAGCCTTGAGATTCTTTTTGAGGTGATGAAATGTTGAGAAATTGAATTTATCTAAATTACTGGGATCCTGAAAACAAAGAAATAGAGCCATACAGCGAACAAAGACTTTTAAAAAAACCTAAAGCTTTCAATGGGAGAGTACAAATAGATTTAAAAGAATGTTCAAATGTATGAAAGAAATAATATTCAACTATTATAGGTTTGGAATGTTGCATTCTTGTAGTACCTGTAAAGTTATGATATCTTTCCTTGTGAATGGTGCATCTGTCAATAAATCTCTCATGTTTTTAGCTTTCAGATTAAGCTCTTCCACTGCCTAATAAAATCAACAAATGTGCAAATTTAAATGGAATCCAAACCTATCCAAATTAATCTCACATTGCAAAGTACATAATTCTGTGTGCAAACATAAATACTTACATCTAAACAGTAGACATTTCCAGTTGTTTTTATGGCTACAATATTGGTATTTGCATTGAAGACTTTATATGTTACAGGGCAGTGATATTTATCTGAAACAGAAAGAAGATTAAAATCCAACAAACCATTAAGAACAAAATACGATTATAAAATAAATAATTATTATTATATATCTTGGATGAATCCATGTATTCAAAAAGTCTAACAGATTGACAATTACTAAATTTATTCAAACACTTCTTACCATCTGCATTTTTGTGGAATGTTAATCGAGTCAAATCTTTGAGTTCTAAAGGCTGAAAAGAAATCAAAAAACTTTTTTATCTATTAATGAATTAACAGGTCATATAAACATTCCATGCCAAAAGAAAAGAAAAGAAAAAAAAAAACTGGAAGAAAATTCCTGCTTGTAATTGCAAAGTTCAAATTGATTTGCCTGACATACCTCTCCTGTTACTGGACTACATTTATGTTTCTTGAGGTAAGGAACAATATTTCTGAAAGAAAATATTGTGAATATGAATACAAATGCTCAAAATGATAAAAAAAGTATGTGAAATACAGGGGCAAATCCAGGATACTTTTGAAGGGGTGGGGGAGTTGCAAAAGTTAGACTAGTGGAGAGATATACAGATAATTGGGATAGGGAGACTACTTTCGATCCAAAATTACTTTGGTTGGTAGGCAAGTGCCAAAGGATTCCCAACCTGTGGGTTTAAATCTTTGTTTCCTTTTTCTCTATGTTAAGACGTAGTTATTAAAGGGATATCTGATGAGTAAAATGCTGCAATAAGTACCTAACCAATAACGCATAGTAGTGTTAATCAAAACTACCACTTTCATAGGGAGGTTGCAACCCCTTAACCCTCCCCCTAGATCTGCCCCCGTAATATATACAATGTAACTTAGTCTATACCAGTAACCACCTATTAAAGTGGAAACTACAATACTGGATGTCAATGCATGAACAATGTTTATACAATTGCACAGTGGATGCAGACTGACACAGGCCTGTCAGTCCAAAGTCTGCTGACCTAGGCCCTGAGTTATCACATCTCTAACATGCAGTCTGACCTATCAATCAGAATATTGCGAGTAGTCTAAGAAGAAGAATACTTACAGCAAGTCAAAAATTACGCCATCTCTCGTGCATAGTGGATTTTCAAATGGCTGCAAAGAGAGACTAACGATCTAGTGTAAAAATATGCTCCAGACACAGAACAAAAGCAACTATAGTTAAATATGTTTTATTTCTCAGTCCATAGTTAAGTTAATAGTTAACTATGCTCAGTCTTACCTACAGCAATAGAAAGGAAGTCTTCTAAATGATGACTTTTGTCCAACTTCTATACAATAAATTACAAAAATGAAGTCAAACTTAGAAATGTAATCGTATCAATAGCAAGTAAGCAAAAGCTTAACTCTTAATAAAATGTTTGACAACACTTGGAGAACAAAATATAAAATTTTTATTTACCTTGCTTTTTACCTCCCCACTCTTCCCTCCATTCTTTATTCGTTATGTACCTAAAATTTGGTTTGAATTGATAAAAATTGTATCGATAATGTTGAAATACATGTCTAAATACTCACAATTTATCTTTTTGATGCTGCTTTTTCCCCATGTTTGAGCCTGTATATGGTCCAGGTGTCCAGTGCCAATGCTTTGGAAACTATGCGTGCGCACACAGGAAGCCCAACGATAAGGATATAACCGATTGAACCAGCTCCTCTACTGTTAGTTTGAACCGTGTCTAGTAGTGGAATTTCTCCAGAAGCGTGAACACTGAAGACTTCAGTCAAAATGTGTGCTAGACCGCTTGTGAGAGTGCAATGGCTGCATCAAATGCTTAAGGAGAATCCAAGTCGTATTCGTGTATTAGATGGTTCGTGGTATCTACCGAGTGCAAAGCGAGATCCTCCGAAGGAGTTTTTGGAAAAGCGCATCCCGGGCGCGCGATTCTTTGACATCGACGACTGCCGCGATAAAACAAACCCTTACGAGCACATGATTCCCAGCGAAGAGGATTTTGGCAAATATGTCAGCAAGCTCGGTATCACTAACGACAGTCATGTTGTAGTGTACGATTCGTATGCTAATCCAGGGGTGTCCGCACCACGTACTTGGTGGACATTTCGTGTGTTTGGGCACGAAAATGTTTCTGTTCTGGATGGCGGCCTCCACCAGTGGTGTGCTTCCGGTTTCCCTACGGAAAGCGGCGATGTGCCTGAAGATTCTTCTAAAGGTTTGTTTAGAAACTTTTGAATCTGGAACAAGTATAAAACTTGTTGATTGTAGTTAGAAGTGTACAATATCGCCAAGAATATAGACCAAGTTACTTTTTAAAAAAATTTTCAGTGCGTGTTGGCGCGTGACCGCGCTGACCGCTTTGAACAGTTGCTTTCAGATTTATGGCTCTTATATTTCTTTTTCATTTGTGCTGTGCTACATTTTAAAGTAATAATAAATTTAGTGAGACTTCCAATTTTTTTTTCCTTCTCTCGATCTATTGCTTTGATATGAATTTTATTTGCATCTTGTATCATGTAACAATGGGTGAAGACCTTGCTTTGCAGGTGTCAGGGATGACACTGCATTTTTATAATTTTTTCAAAAAAGCTTAGTCATTGAGGTCTGGGAATGAGTTCCCTATGCATTTGTAGTACGGAATTGCTCGTCGTATTTTCTTTTGATATATTCAGATTTCTTGTTTCCTTTGTGATTTAGTCTAACAATTTGGGAGTATAATGACAAAAGAAAGTTGGCCAAGGATCTGCATAGTTGTATATAATGTGACATCATGATACCGTAGATAGCGCCTTGTCAATCTACGCATTTTTGGATTCATAATATTATATCAAGCACATTTTTCTCCCTTTTACAAGTTTAATAATTTCCCATTTGACAATCATATTTGAATTCTTTTTTCCATTTATTATATTATTTTTAGTATGAAAGTTTTCATTGTCCCAATTAAAAGAAGCTTTGGGGGCCCCAAAAAGATAAATATGGGTCCACTTTGACGGTTGACATATAGTCAAGGACATGGGCATGTGGAAATACAGATTTTATCTTCGAGTGTTGAAAAGATCTCTCACAAGTGAGCCTTGTGAATGACCATGTAATATTCTGTTTAAGATGTAATTATATATGAAAGTAAATTATTTTGTTAAATGTTTTTTTAGTTCTAATATATAGAGAAAATTGAAATATGCTATTATCGCTCTTTTCAAAAGAGAGAAATAGAGGATATTACATGGGCGCATGGAGATACTGATTTTATGTTCAAGTGTTAAAATGATCTCTCAAGAGTGAGCATAGTTAAAATAACAACTTTAAGTAATGGAGAAATATAGGTATTTTATAGATAAATATATGATAAATAAAGGTATTTCATAGATATTTATATGATATTCTAAAATATCTAATTTGTTCCTTTAGACAATGCTCCGTTCAAGGCAAACTTCAATCCAAACTTGGTGTGTGACTTTGAATTCATCATGAACAACATAAAGTCAGATAACCCAGTCAAGGTTATAGATGCAAGACCTCCAGGAAGATTTACAGGCGTAGATCCAGAGCCACGTCCACAACTCTCCAGTGGCCACATGCCGAAAAGCTCCAGTCTGCCCTACCTAAAATGTATAAATACAGAGGCCAAGTGTTTCAAGGATCCTGATGAATTAAAGAAATTGTTCTCTGGTGCTGGTTTTTCAGATCTATCAAAGCCCTTGGTTACAAGCTGTGGGTCAGGTGTAACTGGCAGTGGTCTCTTGTTTGCGTCGTTCCTGTGTGGGAAAACAGACACCAAACTCTACGATGGTTCCTGGACAGAATTTGTCCAGCGTGCTCCACAGGAGATGATCATTAAAGGAGAGTGAAAGCTAACTGGTCATTTAGTGTGAAGGATGGTCCTATAAAACAAATCAGGGTTAAACAAATCACAGTTGTAAAATAGTTTTCTACTATAAAAGTTACCTCAAGTGTTTTCAATCATATATACATATGAACATTCAAAATCAACCAAAATGGTTGTGGTTTTAAGAATTAATACAAAATGTACTTTTTGGATAGATAGGATATACACATCTTTATAATAATCCTTAATACCAGTACTATATAACTGAATTGCTAAGGTCATAAAATATGGTATAAGATACAACAATGATAGACTAAAAAAGGTAAAAAAGAGATGAAATCTTTCATACAAAAGGGTGACCTTGTGTTAGCTATTAATCTATTGAAAAATTAATAAAAGAACTGGCTGGCTGTTATGGAAGATTCCAAAACCCCACTCTCAATCTTTTGACTAAATGTGAAATATTGCTTTTCCTTGTTTCTTTTAGTTCTTTCATTTATGTAATTTTATGTAATCTTTTGGAACCTTAATTAAGTTTTTTTTTTAATTTAAGGGTACATTGATCCAGTAAATGTTGGAAAGATCGTAAATCCGCGTTCAGGGTGTGTCCTAAAATTATACTCAATTTTGCTATCGAAACCATTCGTAAACGTCATGCGCAGATAGGGGATCGACTTAATGCTCAAATGTAAAACTTTACAATTTTAGTAGTAAAACGCACATCATTGAGGGAGTGAATCTATTTACAGAATCGAAGATAAAATCTCGGAAATTAATGAAGTGGCAAAATTACATGCAATCAGAGGTTATGTTCTGATGCAATATATAAAAAGAAATCAAACTACAAAGCGAGTATTAAAACAGCAAGATGTGGAAAATCATATTTTAATGCAGACTAACAATTGTAAGATGTATGGAAACAAGCAATTCTCAAGCTGCTGAGAGCTTTTGTTCTATAGTTTGTACATGACCCGGAAACGCAGTATTTGAGGGGCTTTCGTGCGGTGAGGTCCAGTATGTGATTGTACTGTGTATTAGTGCTTCGGAAAAAATTGCAAGCCAAACGAATTGTAAGCAAACATTTACCAAGAACCGCATCGCACGCGATTTTCTGAGGGAAATGTTAATGTTTTCACATAGTAACTCGTTGTACCTGACCATTTCGAAATCAGGGCCAGGCAGTTACTATCTTTGTGTCTTTGGGCCGGAAACCACAAACAATTTTTAAAATTTTTGTCTAAAGTTGCTGTAATGGTTCCAGTTTTTTCAAATTCAAATAATGTCCATTTTATTGGGCATCACACGAGATGTTCAATATGTTTCGATTCGTATGGAAACGAAACAATTCATATCAGAACATTTGGAAGTTGATTATTCATGCTATCATCCCTTTCAAATATCACTTGAAAAGTTGAACGTATTTAGCAGGATTATTATACATTGTCAATTCTTTGCTTTATATTACATTGAGAAGTAAAACTCGCAAATTATATGTTCAAAACTTACTTTTAAGTAAATACTTAGATAAGATTTTTTTTAGGAACAATGAAAACTCATGCAATTATTTTTCCTTTGATATTTTGTCAGTTTTGAATGAAACTGTATTCACGGAAGTTTTGTTTGGACTGTTAAGCGCGTGGAGCGTCGTAGTCTTTCAGCAAGGCCGTACGCGGTCAAAAACTGCTTGGACGGGAGTACGTGATGAATTTAATGATCAACTCTAGATTGTCAACTATCTCTTGAACACGCAAAGCATTTCTCAAAATATTACAACTGAAAAAACACTACTTTATCAAACTTTTTGCCACCAAAAACCAATGACTTATAAACTAATTATAGTTTTAAACATAATTCAACTTTATATTTCAGTAAAGAATGGTTTTACTGGCAGATTTTACGCTTCGTGACTTTTGCTATGCGTGCTGCCTATTTTTGGAATACAGTTGTGTGACACGTTTGGTATGGACGTGACTGGCCCACTATAAAAGAGCGAGCTTTCTCACTGTAGGCCAATCCAAAGAATCAAGCGTTAGCGATAGGTTGTGTGCTTGAATTCCCTCGCTGGTTTATGTGATAATGGCTAAAGAAAAGCAGGTTAGTAGCTTTGCTATTATTTGGCAATATTTTCTTTTCCGCACACTGGCAGAATATAGATTTTGGTCCGATTTTTGTTTGTAATTTCGCGTACCAGTCGCTTTCGGATATAGAGTCACTTCTTGTTTTTTTCAAAAATAGGAAAATCACTTCCTTATTGAGGGATTTTTGTTCTTTATGTGTAAGATTAACCTAAAGTTTTTTTTATTGAATTCACAATTTGAGTGAAAAGCTCCCAAAAATGAAAATATTCTGATACCATAGACTATACTTTCAACCTGGGAATTTCTCATATTCCAAGTTTTACCGAAGTATTTGCTTATATTTTATCCATTTTATAGCATTGGGAGCCTTTCACTGAAAAGCTTCGTTTTATAGCTTACATTGCTACAGTTAGTTGTAGTTTCTTTGTCGATCTCGTGACATTTCGTGAGTTCATTGAGGGAACGTGACCAAGATCGGCGCATGCGCGTAAGATGTAAACAATGACTGGACGTGCGGTACTTTGGCTGGCTGATCTGACACCACCTGGTAATGTCAATAAGCCGTCAAATTTCCTCCATTATTTTCATAAATTCGTGTACATACGAGGACCAGAGTGCTAAGAGAAAACAAAATGAACAAAATGTTCGTATCAGAACCAAAAATACTAGAAAAAAATCTCGTGGATGTACAAGACCACGAACAAAATATTTGCTTGCTTCGAACTCCTGAACAGTCCCATGAACAAATTACGTGAAAGCTCGCATTGGTAGCTTTGTTGATTGTAATTTTCGTTCTTTTCATAGCTTCCATCAATTGTTACATTGAACGTGGGAGGGCATGTTTTCACTACACGGCTTGCAACACTGGTCTCCGATCAAGACTCCATGTTATCAGCCATGTTTAGCGGTAGATTTGAACCAGAAGTCGACTCAGACGGCAGATACTTTATTGACCGTGACGGCAAGTACTTTGAACACATTCTAAACTTCCTGCGTGATGCTTCAATGATACCTCCGTCTACAGTGGCACTGCAAGTCTACCAAGAGGCCAAGTATTACAGAATAGAAAGGCTGATGGCCCACTTGGAGTGTTACCCAGCAGTCATGGCAATAACGAAGCTTAAAGACCAGAAGACTAAAATGGGAAATAATTACGAACACTGGAAACAAATGCTGTTGGATGCAGTTTGTCAAAAGTACAATGATGTCATAAGATTCTCCATCGGTCAAGAGTGTATGATAACTGCAGTTAGATATATATCTAAACAAGATTACATCTCTGCAACTTCACCATGCAGTTTCTGTCCAAAACAATCATTAGAATCACCAGATAAAAAACACCCTTCAAAACATAATTTCTATTGCTCAGATGACTCTGGAATGCATCTTAGTTATTACATTGGGTGTGATTTACCAGTAATGGATCTGGTCATACCAGAGGATGAAATCAATGACATTTGCTTGTTTACCTCCTTACTGGAAAAAGACTTACGGTCAGATGGATTCTGTGTCAGTGGTCGGTCATCTCACCCCTGGAGGTGTTCAAATTGCGATGCTATGGGGTATCTTCATCAAATAGCATTTACTTGGAATTTTACTTGAATATTCAAGGAAAACTAGGAAGATATTTATATTATACACATTTGCGCAAGTACAGTGCTTTGCATAAACTATGAGATAGAGTGAAGTCAAAAACCCAATGAAACAAAACTTGACTGTTAAATGACAATCAAATAGACAAAAAAGGAAACAATTCATACTAAGGAACTGATCAGTGGGTTTTTTTTGAGTTTTTTGACTGTAGTGTTTCAAAATTAAAATCTGGTGGAACAGGCCAAGAAGAATTTCCTCAAATAAAAAGGAAATTCTACCTGCCCTTAGGCTGGGAAAAAAAAATAAATTACAATGATCAATAAACTAAAATACATCATTATGTTATAGTTAGCAGCAAATATTACAAAGCAGCAATTTATAAAGCTTTTAACCGAAAAATATTAACATTATATTTATTTTGCATATATAAATTATAATCATCAAATAAATCACCTATCAGCAGGCTGGTTTTGATGTTTTTATCACAATATTTTGTAGATGTAGGTAATTCATATTTATATATTAGACAAAGAAATCAAGGATATATAATAAAGCGCTTATTATTATGGATTGGAATGATTTATTTGTTATTGTATGAAAAAAGAAATTGTGAATTGTTGTTTAATGATCGAACTCTACTATGGGAGAACTGAGATTCCAATCCTTTCTCTCCTTCTCAATGCACAGTTGGAATCTCTGCTCACAGGTTATGCAAACATAGTCTCTTGAACAACAAACAAACAAACAAAAAGTAGTAAAAAAAGTAGTACTAACAATTTTGTTCAAGGTCCAAGTAAATTGTGATTAGACATTATCTTATGAAAAGCTGCCTTACAATTCAAAGTTTGCCTATTTTAGATTCCTTGGATATTCAATATTGCCTTTTGGTAAAAGGAAGAAATTGTACAAAACAATTCTGCAATAATTATTTCAATTTTATTCTAGTAAATAAGCAAAAATCCTACATTTTTATCATTAGGTGACAAGAAATCTAAATTTTGAATCATTAGTCAGAATCTGCATGAATTAAAAAAGTTACAGTAGAAATATGTACAACATTTCATCACCCTGGGTCACATGTCTGCAGAATTAAGAGATACTTCACAATAATGATTAAAATACTAACATTATTTGGAACAAATTAACAATATTCTACATTATCATGGTCACTGTAAGTTAGAGAATTATCATTCAAGTACAAACACAAAATGAGTGCACATAAATAATACAAAAATAGCAGTGTTTCTGAAACTGTATTTACTAATATTTTGTTGCATACTCTTACTCATAAGGGAAGTATGTTTTATAATGACAAGAAAGAAATTACAATATCTGAAAAAGAGTGTTTTTATATTAGTTTATGCTATTAATATTTCTGTTATGTTGACGATGATGCACCACCTCCCCTTCCATTACCACCTCTGCCACGCCCTCTTGGGTTCCCTCGACCTACCACAAGATGTAAAAATATGTAAGTACCTGTGATCGAATAGCTTCATTTTCAGACAGACCAGGGTGCAATACTAACTCAGAGTTTGGAGAGAAAAGCATCAGACCCAGGCCTGCCTGAAAATCAGGCTAGTGATTAATGACAACATTTGAAATTATTTTCATGAATAATCCACTAGCTCAAGTTGTCACAATTATATCAAAATATAAATAATTTCACTCAAGACTTTGACCTCGCAAATGATGTGAATCTGTTCAATGTCTACTTCATTTCAATGTTCTGAAACTATACCTCGGACAAATCTTTTGATAAACCTTTTAATTCTCGTTGGACCAGTCCCTAAAATAAAATGTTTTTATGATAAGTGAGTATTATCATTCCACTCTAGATGCAATGCACATGAAGCATGTACAATGTCGATTAATGAATTTTTATCAACTAAGTACAAACCTGTAGTTGAAGCAGTTTGGGATGAGCTGCCCGAGGTTGCTGGTGTACTTCTCTCTACTTCACCACTATTACACATAAAAAGAAGGGATGGGTGGATTTGAATGATGAATAAATGATATTCGATACTCAAGCTTACCTGTCTCTATCAGTGGTTGTTGTTATGTCACATACATCCTCACTATCATCATCTCCACCTACTATCACAGCATCATCGCCACCAGTTGTCTCGTGTGTTTCAGGTACATTCTGTTCTGCAGTTTCTTCAGCTGTCGCTGCTGATGTTATAGCTGCAGCAGTCCCTGGTGTTTGTGTTATTGTTAAGGCTGCTGATGCTGGTGTTATTGTTATTGCTGGAACATCTCCAATGATAGCAGATGAGAAATCATCCTCAGATTCTAGGCTCTCTATGGATTGTTGTCGTGATGTAGATTCTGTGGGTGTATTTTGTGGTTGTTCAGGAACAGACTGGTTACCAGTACTTTGCTTATTGCCTCTGTCTTGAATACCTGCAAGATTAAGATTGATTGACTGAACTGCCAATGTGAACTTAAAAAACTCATACATAATGAATGAGCTACTAGGCCAATAGAATGAGCCTATTTGGTCACATGCATGGACCTTTATATCTGATAAAACACTCCTTATTAGTATTCTTTATATAAAGAATACTAATAAGGGTGACCTTTATCAGATATAAAGGTCCATGACCCTAGCAAAGGTCTCAGGTTTGATACCTGATCATTGACCAATGCAGGATGTTAACCGATTTCAGTGAACAGCCAAGAGCGGTTCTATTTTACTTTATGTGTATTCAATGTGGGATGACAAGAGCGCTTTGTAAAGTGATTCACGCATGATCAGTTTGCCCCATTTATCCCTGAACATATTTGTACGGTAATTTCTCCAAGAGTTTTAACGGATTTGAGTTTCAAATTAGTGTTGGAGTTTTTTAAGCCGTTTAAAACACTCCAGGTCGTCCTCCTTCGGCTCGAATCTTTATACCTGATAAAACACTCTCTCTCGTGTTTTAAACTATACAATTCACACCACATTAACTTTTTATGTACAATTTATACACTGCATACAGTGATTTTATCTTAAAATTTGTTTTAAGATCACAAAACTATTTACTTTTATCCAATGCAAATGGCATGTAGTATACATGCATGTGGGCAAGATAGCGTGGGTAAGATCGGATTGGAAATGGTCCATGAGAAAGATGCTTAGTCTCTTGGTTGAACTTAAACTTGAACCACAGCAGAGATACACTTCTACTTCAACCAATTAGCCGCATATAAATTTCTCATGTCTTTCTCTAAAGTTATTTCTTTCAAACAACTAAAACTACAAAAACCATACCTGTTGCTGCATCACTGCTGTCCTCTGTTTCATCCATCAAGTTGACATGAGTATCATCAACACGCATTCCTAAAACAAAATGAGCTCATGTTACCCAAAAACATTCTAGTCACTGACAGATACAGAAGTGTAATGGTGATAAAGCCTTCTGTAAACCAAACCCAGCAGTAAAATCTCCAATAATTTTTAGTTTAGAAATTCTAAACTCAACAAATAATCTATGAGCTGCAAATTCTGACATCCAAAGTTGAAAGACAGCAACAGACAAATCATAATCCAATAGAACAAGTAATAATTGATAATAATTAATAATTACCTCCCTCTGTTATACTCGACTCTAAGCCAAGTATCTGCATTCCTGATGACCCTTCAGTGGGTGGAGCAAAGTTGAAAGGGCGATGGATGTGTGGAGAGCTGAAATCAAAGGATATACAAAATGGTGTTGATACACAAGTGAGCACAAGAGTAGTTTCTTGTCAGTCAACACAGTGCAATGCAATTCTGAGAACTTGGGGATTTAGGATAGACTTTGTCTTGTTATATCCATTTGTAACCTCTAGTCTTCGAACAAACAAAACCTAGACTGATAGTTACTATGGAACCAGTTACTTGTGTCAATAGATCATATCTCACATTAAACTTAATTGTAAGATGAGCTCAATTTATGTTCTCTGATGGATAACACTGACTTTTCAAGGAACATTGGTTATAAAGGATAGTAAATGCCATGCCATACCTTATTGCCTCTGCAAAGCCGTCTGTTCGTTTAGGTACAAACAGGGTTGGAGTACTAGGGACGGTACAGTCATCAGCATCATCAAATGGAACTTGGCTTGACTGACCCTTACATGTAAAAATTACAATCATTAGAACTGTTATCATTAAATATCAACAATTATTAATTTATAACTTACAGGAGGAAATGAGAATGGTGCAAGGTGTGACCTTGGAGGTCTGTCAATAGACGCTGATCTGCCCACAGGTCCTGGTTCCTCATGTTGCTGTTGCTGAACAAACTGACTTGTTGTTGTCACAACAACAGGTGTCAACTGACGTACAGATGGTGTCTGAGACATGCTTGTGCTGTCATCATTAGAACTACCTGACTGGGATGCTTCTGTTTCTTCTTGGATGATTTCCTGGTCACCTTGCTGGTCAGCCTCTGGTGTGGACATCTCTTCTTCACCTCTGATGGCTTCTTCTTCATCTCCTTCTATGATATCTGTGCTTACATCACCTGTAGCAGTAAATGGACAACATTATCAACTTACTAGTAACAAGTACATTAGAAGTGTTGAATAGTAGATGCAGGGGCAGCCAGTTTGAAAGTAAATGGGCCACTGGCTGGAGGATCATTTAGACCACATATTTGTTGTGATGAATTGCTATTTTTCACACAAAAGTAAAAATAACAAAAGCTTTCAATTACATACAATGACATGTATATAACTTTAATAACATATTATTACAATGAATGCAAAAAGTAGGAATTTAAAGTGGCATAGCATTGTTTTGTAACTAAAACCACTGTTAATAAGAATACTATACCTTGAGAAATAACATCTTTGGGTTGATCTTCTTGCTCTTCCCCTTCATCTTCTTCAACATCGTCTTCATTATAATCCTGTTCCTCCTCATATCCATCACCTTGATTATCATCAGCATCAACATCCTCTTCAACATCATCAACCTCCTCTTCCTCCTCCTCGTCATCATCAATGACCTCAACAACATCTATAGCGACTTTGCCTTCATCATCGTATTCCTCCTCTTCTTCTTCTTCCTCTTCTTCTTCCTCCTCGTCATCCATTTCTTCATCTACACCTCTGTCCGCTTCACCTTCTTCCTCTTCTTCATCTCCACTCTCTATGAGAACTATCTCTGGGGTATCTCTACCAGAGGGTTCATTTTCTAGCTCTGGTACTTCCCATCTTTCTTCCTCAGTGTCTTCATGGGCTTCCTGTGCTGCTTCAGTTATCTAGTAGGGTAAAACACCAACAAAATTCTTCAATTGCAAATATCCTAGCATTGAGTAGTTTGAGGAAAGATGGGGCACAATCAAGTCAATAGTTTCAAAACTCATTTCACATAGTATGCAAATAATGAACATGAAATTGAAGACACATATTTTATTGACAAATTTGACGTCTACTCTCGTCTGTAAATAGATAATAATTGAAAGATAATTATATAATATAAAGAAAGAAAGAAAGATCTTTTTTGAAAGATCTTTTTCTATTCAAATTTGTTTCCTGCTTACTAATCTCTAAAAGGACATCACTTTTTTTGATATTTCAATTTTGTTCTTTAGATATCCACAATTATACAGAGAGACATCCGCTAATTTGAACTTTAGTGTATTATATTTCTTCTTTGTTCTTTGGATAGCCATTTGATGATTATAGTTTATCTCTAGCTACAAACACTATTCTCAATTTAATCAAATTAAATTATTATAATCATCATTATAATTGTGGTTCCTTCTTTACCTCAGATGTTCTGATTTTCTTCACAACTGGTTCTGCTCCCTGACCTTGGTTTGGTCTGGAAAATAAACCATCATTTAATCAATACATAATCACTGGTCTTTTTTTATTTTGAGAGGGTAGCATGTAATAGTCTCTAGACTAATAAACTTGTGGCCCTCTATATATTCACTCATACTCACTACCTCAACATTCATTATTTTACTACACGACACTCCTCAAAGCTAGTTTTTGACTGAGGGAGGAAAACAAGTGGACCTGGAGAAAAACCCTCGGAGCAAGAAAGAGAACCAGCCTACAAACTCAAATCACATATAGTCCCGGACCAGGAATCGAACCAGGACCACAGCGGTGATAGACCGGCATTTTAATCGCTCGGCCATCCTTGCTCCCCTTGCTCCCCACTTTATACAAAACAGAACTTAGACTGATGGATTGACAACGATCCATATATTGAGCAGATATATATTATGACACAGTATCAGTCATTTTGTACAAGTATACCTGTCATGTTCTTCTTCTCTCTGTCGTTTGGTTGATGTAGAAGGCTGTGTGGTATCTGCTGATGACCTGCTAGTAAAATTCAAGTAGAAAAAAATTGAAGAGTCCATTTTACTTAATTTCAATTTCATTTACAACTTTATTAATTTATGCTCAAATACATTTAACAAAAAATTTAACAGCAAGGTTACAATTACAAGAATTTTTCTAAAATGCACTGGCCTAATGACTGCAGCCCTATCAACTACAATAATCACAACAAAAATTGAAACCACAACCACAATGACAATGTTAAACAACAACAACAACAAATTAATGATAACTTAAAAACACAACAAACACAAAATCACAACATAATAACATAAAGATAACCACTACAAAAAGCATAAACCTTTTCTCAAACCAAAAAACTCTTCCCCTCCCCTCCCCTCCTAAAACAACAGAAACCAAAAAATTCAAACCTTGTGTCAGGTGTCTCAAGGGCTGATCTTGTAGATGTCACATCATCTGGTGTTTCAGATAACTGTCCACTGTTGATTGGCCTAACTGTTGCACTCATAGATGAAGTTGACACCACTGTGGCCTGGCCACGAGGAGGGACTACCGCCGTCTCCTGAGCACTTGATGTTACCGTGGGTAAAACTGTTGCTGTTGGAGTTGGGGTGCTTTGTGTCATTGGACGGATGCTTGCAGTCTTGGTTGCTGCTGGTTTGACGGCTGTAGATGATGTTGGTTTAATTGTAGCAGTGGGTGGAACAACAGACACCGTAGCAGGAGAACACGACACTGATTCTACAATGAAATGGTTGTCTTTGAATGATTCTTTCACAAATACCATATCTACATTTGTATGTCCAACATATGTAACAACAATCAACTAAACAATAATAAAAAGAAGGATTCGTTATCTTCATTTTGACCAGCAACATTGTAAAAATATATCCATATCTTGAATAAAAACTATTAAATCTGATTGAATAAATCAATTGCTATTATATTCTGGTAACCAATGGAAAATGCCATTACATTATGGCTATACCTGATGGTTGAATGCCTTCTGCACCAGTGCTTGTGACTGCTGCAATAGTCTTGGTCTGTTGTAATTGCTGGATTTGTTTTTGTAGCTGTTGGACTTGCTGTTGAAGTTGTTCAATTTCACTTTGATAGAAAATGAATTATGAAAAGAAAATGAAAGTCTATTGAGTAAATTCTTTTTATGCATTGTCAAGTTTGAATAATAATATGACAGTCCTGGTTGTGCATGTTGTTTGCCTTAACCAATCAAATGTCCTTACTTATTTTTCTCTTCCAATTTCTTTTGGTTTTCCTCAGCATCATTTTCTTTACTTGCTTTGCTTTCCTTCAATTCTTTTTCATGTTTAGCAAGACGTCCATCATATTGTGATTGTAGAGCTTTTAATTTAATTTCAAATTCTTTCTTGTCTTGAGTGACTTTCTCAAGTGCTTCACTGGTTGTTTTAATCACTTTCTTGAGTTCTTCTTTCTCAGCATCTTGTTTTTCCTTTGTAGCTGTACACAGAAATAAAAGAAAACAAATTCAATATTATCAACTGAAGCCTTATCCTCCTTGGAAGACATTTGTGGCAGTTTGAGAATGAAATGTTTGAAAACACTAAAAAAATGTTTGCTGCTACAGAATGATGTAACTGCATTTTTGGTAGTTTATTTCTCTTAAAGCTTACAATTTGAAATGATCTAATATTGTACAGAATAACATGACTTTTAACCTGTAAGCTGTTGAATTCTTTCTTTTACTTGAATAAACACTTTTTTGTTCTTTTCCTCTTTTTCCTTGAATTGAACCTAAAACAACATAAAGTGAAACTCACAGTGAAATAACAGGTAGCCAGATAAATTAGCCATTTGCATGAATCAATTTATTTTATTTTATTTTTATTTTTTTGCTAAAAAGTTACAATGAATCCAAGGCAGACCAAGAACATACTGTATTTTAACTATCTCGTAAATAAATGTACACATACATGTACATCCAATATAACTTACTTTGAGTTGTTCCTCGGCAGCCTTCAATGATTTCACCTGTTCTTCAAGAGTTTCTACTTGTTGTTTGAGTTCCTTGATTTGGTTCTCATATTCACTGACATCAACAGCTTCACTACTTCCTTCAGGACTAGTCTCTTGTTTTGCTGTTGCTTCTGCTGCTGTTGTCGTTGTTGCTTGCGATTCTGCTGGTTCTGCTTTTTGTAGTACTTCGTCATGTTTCTTTTTCAGTTCATCATGTTGTGACTTGTACTGGCGTGCTATACGCTTGACCTATTAGCAGTCAACACATTATGAGCACAGATTACGTTTTGACAACAGTCCTAGCGTATTTGTGGCATGTCTCAGTTTCTGGTCAATAATTTCTACAAATTATGAATTTGCCAAAGAGAAGAAAACTTTCTGTGTATACATGTACCATCAAAAAGTTTGATTCTGTCATATACCAGCAATGGTATACATATCATTGTTAAAACAGATAAAGATCCCTACACACACCTTATTTAACGTGGTAATCTTTTCCTTTATTTCATGAGTCTTTTCTGACAAGGTTTTCTTTAATGCTTGTATTTCAGTTTGGTGCTTGGATGACTCAGTCTTGAGAGCTTCATTTTCTTCAGTCAGTGTAGATTGCTTTTTCTATTAAAAACAAACAACAACAATGTACAGCAAATGAGCAATTAAATGACTATGGTTAATAAGAAAACTGTAACAAGCTCAATAATTCAATAAAACTTAAGTACACATTTTCTCTTTTAATCCATCAGTCAGAATGGACTATCTACTGTATGAAAACAGTACAGTCAGCAGAAATAATTTTTAAATTTTATTCTGTTAAATTCCTAATGGAAAAATAAAAATAAATCACTGACATATCTCAGCATGAATTTTTAGGCATGAATAAAACAAAGGATATAAAAATCACCTTTTGACCTTCACATATAGTATCAAAGGAGACTTGGAAACAATGGTACTCAAGACTGTCTCGAGTATAAACTTAACATGAATGTAATCTGAATGTGTTACTGTTTTATACCATTGTTTAAGTCAGAAAAACTTGAATATTATGAATGTTAATATGAATATTGTGAACATTACCTGAAGTGCAGAAATTTCTTCACTAGAGGAGGCTAGGTTATTCTTGACTGTCTCAAGCTGGACTTTGGCTCTTTGATTTTCAGCTTTCAAAGATGCAATTTGCTGTTGGAACAGTTTCTTCTCATCTAACATTCGCTTGTGTTCGTCTGGATTAATGTTTTTATATTGCTCTAAAAGATTATTTGTTTTGGTTGTCCATCTCATTATCTGAAACGTAATGCATGTATACAATGTCAATCAATCAGCCAATAATTACTGCAGTTGATCATGAGCTGAACAATGAGCCAATCAATAATAAATCTATGAGCCAATCATTGATGAATCAGCCAACCAATCAATATATCAAGCAACCAGAAAATAACCCAATCAAATGACATGAATAAATCTATGATAAAGTCACATATTCAATCAATTCAACAAACAACAAAGCAGTCAGCAAATCAATTTACAATATAATCAATAAATTTATCATTCAAACAATAAGTATATTAAGCAGTTCACCTCATTCTTAAGAGCAGACTTTTCACCCAACAAAGAATCCTTAATCGCTGTAACAGATCGGTTGGTGTCTTTGAGGCTCTGAATTTCGCTTTCAGCTTTCTTCACCTGCAATAAAGTAGAAACTGAACTCCTGTTGTATTTTATTATATTATTCACTTTATTTTATTAGATTTATATTATTATACAATTTTTCTTCCCTGTGAAATGTAATAAATTTGATTGATTATATGAAATACCATAAATTTTCAGTAAACTACCTTTGAATCCAATGCTTTATTTCTTTGCTCCAAAGATTTTATCTCATCATTCAACACTTTGTTAGCTTGAGTAAGTTCATTCAGCTTTTCTACTTTTTCCATCACCTCAGCGTGTTTTGCAGCAGTTTCTGCATCTATTTGTTCTTGTGTCTTTTCATCTTTTAGATTTGCCTGAGATGCTTGGAGTTTCTTCTCTAAGAATTCACACCTCTGTTGATAGCGAAGGCTTTCTGTTGTTGCCATTTCTGCTTTTGTATCTGATACTTCTTTTTCTTTCCTTACAAATCTAAAGAAACAGTGATACAACATTTTTGCACATTCTTCAAAAGGGTACCAATAATCACAAACAGCAAAAATAGATACAAAGTTATTCTATATTATTTTCTTTCTTACAAAAGATGCAAGATACATGTACAATCATCAAATTATCATCATTTGTCAGAGAAGAAGAGGGAGCTCGTCAACTTACAGACAAAAAAACAGCCCAACAAGAATAACAGCTTAACACTAAGCCTAGTATAAGAGTTCTGTAATGCATATTTACATGACATACCTTATAATTTCCCATAGTTCTACCATGCTATTGGTTTCCTCACTTGTACCTTCACCTGATGTTCCTGGTACAGTGCCAGAAACTTGCTCAGCAGATGACAGTTGGGACACAGCCTGAAATATGAAATTACATTTTAAAAGAAGTTGGTAAGGTGTCAGTAAGTGGTTGGTAAGGTGTCAGTAAGTAACTAATTTTCTATATGTGTACCTTGTCCAGTTCTTTGTGGAGGTTAGAATTTTGATTGACTAAATCAGCACATCTTGCTTGGAGTTTTTCTAATTCTAATGCATGGTGTTTCTGTTGTTGTTCCAGTGATTCATTGTATGTTTTCAGCCTTGCTTCATCTGAATTTGCTTTGTTGATTATTTCAGTATATTTCATTTCTATTTCCTGAAGCTAAAGATAACAGTTGATAAGCAACTACAATACTTTAATGACAAATTATTATTTCCACATATTATTAAGTAGTTACTACAATAGGCCCTGTGCATGGTTGTGTGAACTTGTCAATCATAAAATGCCAATACAGCTCAAATATAACTGTCCATTAGATAGAGTATGCTAAATTAGAGATGAACATTCTCTGTAAAAGTGAGCTCATTAAAATTGAAGCCATAGTATACATAAAAAACCCTAACAAACACGGAAAATAACCCCAACATTGTCTTTTCAGTCAGCTATATAAACACTCTTTTGATTGAAAGGTCAATTTTACAATGTAGGTCAAATGATGTCCTGCAAAGCCATTATTCTAGTACAGTCACAGTCTATACAATTGTAAACACTCTTCCAATCACATGAAAATAAGCTATAGTGTAGTAAAATCATTCTGTTTGCTGGTGAAACAACATTGAAAACTTACTTTTTGTTTTGCTGTGGTCAGCTCTTTTAAGTCTTTAGCATGGACTTCCATTTCTGTCTCATACTTTTCTCTGCACTGTTATAAAAAATCATTTTAAAGACTTTTAATGTTGAATAATATAGTCATCAATAACATGGTAACATGCATAGACAGGTTTAGAAAGATTGACTTCTTGCACATTCCATGAAAACATATATAGCAATAACATAAATAGTACTTTGTAATGTGGTCCAAAGAGCACAAAATGTGCTGATACAATATAAAGAAAAGAAATTTTTTTTTTAAATTTTATATATTTTTTCAAGTTTTACCTCATTAGCCAATAACACTTGCTCATTAAGTTCTTCTCTGGCCATTTGCTCCCCAGCACTAGCTGACCTTGCCTTCATTCTTGCCTCTTCTAGTTCACTTCTAATAGTACTAAGAATATTTTGAAGCTCTGCTACTTGGCGGTTGCTTTCTTTTTCTATGTGACTTTTCTCTAATATTAAAGCATTGCTTTTACTTTCTAGTCCTTGTATCTGTCCTTGGTAATAACTACACTTCTCTTCTGCTTCTTTGAGCTGTGTGTGCATGTTGGTCTGAAGTTCATCACTTGCCTGCGTAACATATAAAATATGATTAATATACAGTTTTAAACTAATTCAAGAACTTCAAGGTCGTGACACTATGATGTACGTATCACAACTGTATTCAGTAGGCAAATACTTTTTTTGAAATAGCTGTAAATCTAGTCAAATGCTAAAATGTTTTAAATTGTCATTCAAAAACTCATACATAATTAATTATTAGGCCAATAGAATAAGCCTATTTGGTCACATGGATGGATCTTTATATCTGGTAAAACACTCTCTCTTGTGTTTTAAACTATACATAATGATTAAATGAAATGTACTAGATAGATGTGTAGTGAAGGCCACAAGACATACTGCATTAAGGCTTTTGAGAGCTTCTTCATGGGCTAAAGACATAGACTTGAACTGATCTTCTTGCATTTTTGACTTCTTGAGTTGCTCTTCAAGTCCTGAAAAAAATTACAAATAATATCAATTAATGACAATTACAATAACATCCGCTACAATATTGTATCTGAACAATTTGCAATTCATACCATTGATTTTGACTTCTGCTTCCTTTAGTTTCTGGTTTGATTCTTGTAGCATCACTTCATATTTTGAAACTATTTCTTTATTAACTTTCTCTGCATCATCTGTACAAATAATACAATAATTTTGAACAAAACACAAATAAAACAACTACAACAAAACTATAGCAACAACAAAGCAAAAACTCTACTGAAAAAAAAAAAACAACTAGCAGAAAATCCAGTGTATTGCTGTAATAATATTACAAACAAGCAACATAAGTACAGAGCAATAGAAAAAAATAAATGTCAAAACAAACTCAAATCAAAATCCATTTGCTAACCTCCAGTTATTCCTTGCTCCCTTGTCAGGAATTCATTAAGTCTTCTTTCAGCAGCTTCCCATTGAGCTTTTGCCTCTTTGTACTGAAAATCAATATTTAATATCATTTTTAATTCAAATACTTGGTGAATATTATATAATATTAAAGTTCTGGCCTCTCAGGATGCACTGTCTAGACAATGGTCTGAAATAAGTGCATCTTCTGTGATCATTGTTCCTGAATTAATTATTTGCATAGTGGTTCTTGTACATCACAGCCATACCAAAGCAAGTATAATATGGTGAAAGTATCCTAATTTTTGTCTTTGACAGTAATGTTTTAGGGAAAATTGTCATACTATATATTTTATTTTAATACCTTGTTTTCCATGACTTCCATCTGTCTAGTATTAGCCACAAGATCATCTTTAGTTATTCGGTGATTCTTGGTTTCTGTATCAATTTGTGTTCTGAGCTCTTGAACTTGGTTCTGTTATAAGTAAATATGGAGCAAAAAAATGTACTATTTAATGAGTAAACACTCATTACAGCTGTAAAGAGGATAACCTTACCATTTCACATGAAAATACATTTTATACTTCATTTTCCTTACCTCTAGTTTTCTTACAAGATTTTTGCTGTGTGAGTCTTCACTCTCGAGCTTTCGCTTGGCTAAAGTCAGTTCTTTCTGAATTCCTTCTATCTGAGAAACTAACCTAGTCCTTGTTTCAAACTCATTTCTCTCAAGCTGGTTCTGTAAAACAGAGAAGAGGCATGTTGTGCCATTTTGTTTCCTAAACAATACACTGGGGGAAGTATTATTCATTTAGTACATTATATATTTAATAATACTGATATCAAATGAAAATCTAATTCTACAACAAGTTGGGTATTTCCCATACAATACCCAGGAAAAGTATTATGTTATTACATCAATTATATTTACCAGCTCCTCTTAGGTCACATAAATACCTGCATTTTTTGTAGATTGGTGACTAAAGTGTTTGTTCCTTTCTGCTGCTCTAGTAAAGATTTGTTCTCCTGCAGAAGACGAACCTCTGAATCTCTCAGCATTGTTTTCTCAGCATTGAGGTTTTCACAGGTGACCTGGAAAACAAAGGAAAATACTTGATCAACTCAAGAGTTGATATACTTTTTATCTGTGATGAATACTGTATCAGATAATATGATTTATTAGGCAGTTTTGTCTGCATACCTCAGCTTTACATAGTCTATCTTTGATGGCAGCTAGCTCCTAGATTAAAACATGAAAAAATGGAAGAAATTGATGAGAGTGGATAAAATATAAATGAAAAACAACATCTCAGTAAATTCAAAACTGTTGAACAATTTCCAGATTTTTTTTCACCAAACTGTTAAACCGGGAACTTATTTATACTTTTTAGGCTGTGAAGCCTTCTATATTATACTAAATGTATAATTAATTAATAAACAGAGAGTTTATTGCTGACCTGTGTCACAGAATCTGCAAAAGCCTGTAGTTTCACATTGGTTACATGAAGGTGTTGTGCCTTGTCATTGGCTGATGTTGCTTCCTTTTTACAGCCATCAAAATTAGATTGAAGCATTTTGTACCGTTCCTCTGAAAACTCAACCTAAAACAGAGTATATATTAATGAAATGTAACCTTAGTTGGTTTTTATTTTCCAGATGCTCTATATAAAAAACACCCTGAATTTTAAAATTCAATTAATATGCTTTTTTTGTCCAACAGTGAACATTGTACAATATGTTCTCATTTTACAGACAAGCAAAATTACATGTATATATTTGTTTTAGGAATTAATCAGATCTTGATTTAAAATCTCATTGTATGCAGGTTTATTGTTGAAACTGAGCTTTCAGCCGTGATGACATTGTTGCATATTGTAATCATGTGGACGTACAACCTTGATAATGACTGCTTAGGCTGAAAGCCCGCTTTCAACAATAAACTATCAAACACACAAGAACCTTACTAGTAAATTTTAATGCAGATCTTGATTGTTGTTATCAATTTTAACTTCACTTACCTGAGATCTGAGCTTAGAGTTTTCACCATGAAGCCTGGCGTTCTCCATACTCATTGACTCTAACCTTTCATTAAGTTTGCTAAATAAACAAAAAGTTGACATTTTAGGACAAGTCAGGTTAAATCTTTGTGCAAACAGAATATCTTTAGCTAAATGATACTTTGAACAGTCAAGCATTCCTTGGGCAGCATTGTATTTGCCTGTTGATCAACCATATTGTTTTTTGCCCTAGTTTAACATCAGTGATTTCCATAAAAATCTACTGTATGCAAATGGAAACTTACTCTTCAGCTAAACGTCTTTCATCTTTGTAATCTTCAAAGTGTTTCTGCAGATCTCTCAGAGTATCCCTTGTCTGTTCTAAAGCAACTAAAGACTTGTCTGATACACTGGGCGACTGAGTTAGTAGTGACGTCTCTTGTGCTGATATTGATATCTTCATGGAATATTCAATAAAACAATTTTAAGTAAGAGTTTCATTGTTTTTGAAGGACAGAATGATAATTATTTTAATGACAAAACAAAACACTAATTAAATATACAATGTTTTATTAATAAAACTGCTTAAAAGTTCATCAGAGTTCTTGATTTTTTAGTGGCAAAAAACTTGTACTGAAGACATCAACTTCAGTCATTATTACTGCTTTAATTTGTACAGCTACACTAATTTGAATTATTATTTGAGGCCAATACAAGGTTTTTGCTCCAAATACCTTAAAAATTATTATATAATACTTACTGGAGACTGTCCTTTATTTGCAAGCAATACATGGTAGCTATCTCTTTGTCGTACCATTAATTCCACCTAATTATAATTAAAGCAATAAAAATTTAATAAATAACATTAAAATTTAATAAATAATAAAGACCAACACTTTACAGTATTAAAGACACTAACCATTTCCATCTGTCTTGACCTTTCAAGCTTCACATTTTCAACTTCTTTTAAAGCAACATCCAATTGGTTTTTAAGTTCTTGAAGTCTAATAAAGCATTAATGGAGTATAATTTTATTAGTTTTAGCAATAGAAGTGTCAGTGATAATGTAATGGGGAAATATCTCAGTCTCTTTAATATCTAAAAGCTACATGTATAATTTAAGACAATCGCACATGATAGGAAAGTGCATAAGGGAAATGCCCCGCGAGGCGCTTTGAACAGCATTTTGCTCACTGTAAACAGCAAAAAACTGGTGCGCACACGCTGCTAAAAGCGACTCGCATGGCATTTCCCTTACGCACATTCCTTTGGTGTGCCTTGGGCTTTAGACATCTCTCTATCTATTAGTCACCATTTTTTTAAGACACTTCTTTAATAATAACCAATAATAATTAAAAATAATTTATTTTCAATCTTTCCAGCCAGTAAATCTTCCCACCGATGTCATATCTATTCAAAAGACATGTTAGCACTTACTTGTCATCAGTCTTTTCAGATTCCTGACTTTCTTTATCTTGGGTTATTTCTCTGATAACTGCCAAGAGTCTCTGGTTTTGTTGCTGTAGTTCTTCAATACTTCTAAAGGAGACAAGATGGTCTGAAATCACCTGAGATGAACTGGTCACTTCTTCTGAGTGCACTAAATGCGTTGTGTTTTGTCTTCCTGCTCTTGTCTCTTCACACTCTTTTAGAAGTACTTGTACCTACAAAGAGAATATCAGTCAGGTCATTTTCTTACTGGTACTCAAGACTTGTGCATTGAGTCAAATTGAGCATTCTGCTTTAAATATCATCTGATAACTACACCGTAAAAAAAGGGTTTCCTTTGATTCTATTGTCATCAGACAAATATAGCATTAATTATTGGCATTATTTTATAATAAACATAATAACTTAAAAAACTCATGCATAATTAATGAGCTACTAGGCCAATAGAATGAGCCTATTTGGTCACTTGCATGGACCTTTATATCTGATAAAACACTCCTTATTAGTATTCTTTATATAAAGAATACTAATAAGGGTGACCTTTATCAGATATAAAGGTCCATGACCCTAGCAAAGGTCTCAGGTTTGAAACCTGATCATTGACCTATGCAGGATGTCAACCGATTTCAGTGAACAGCCAAGAGCGGTTCTGTTTTACTTTATGCGTATTCAATGTGAGATGACAAGAGTGCTTTGTAAGGTGATTCGCGCATGATCAGTTTGCACCATTTATCTCTGAACATATTTGTACGGCAATTTCTCCAAGAATTTAACGGATTTGAGTTTCAAATTAGTGTTGGAGTTTTTTAAGCCATTTAAAACACTCAAGATCGTGTTTTATCAGGTATAAAGTTAAACCTGGTAAAACACTCTCTCTCGTATTTTAAACTATACATAAAACACCATATCAATCAACATACCTGTTGACTTAAATCAGCTGATAATGACTCCAGTCGTGTATTTTCCCTTCTTAAGTGCGCACACTCCTTACTGAACTGCTCTGCTTGTACAACAGCATGGTCATGCTCCTACAATGGTTACTAGTTGACTTAGAACCAATCCATAACACAGCAACAGATCACATAATAATCCTTACCAAAATTGCACTTTCTAGTTTCTTTGTTAATTTGTCATTATTTTGTAACACTTGTTCATAGTCCTTCTTTTGTTGCTGAAGAATAGGTGCTTTTTCTTCAAGTTCCTATTGATAAAATGAAACAATGGTCAGTGATTACATTCAAGGCTGAAGGTTAGGAAACATTATGAAATAGAATATGTGAAATTACACACTGCTAGTAGTAGTTTCCTATGATACAACTGATTTTGAAAAGGTTGTCCACCTAATAACAAATTTTCTGTCCCAGTAAAGTCTAGAATGTCAGGTGTGTTTTGATGCAGAAATGAGACATTTTAAAATTCTATATTATGGACATTAGAAAATATTTCATGACGTGCAGAAACTGAATATATATCAAGACATGTGACAATTGGAACATTTGAAGTGTCTTTTTTGGACGACCTTTCCATAATAGGCTGTTATTAGAAACTTTCAGTTACTAGTAATTTCATACAGCAATTAATAATACCTTTAATATTTGCTCCATGTAGCTTTTAAGCCTAGAATTTTCATCCTTTTCCTGTTGCAGTTCATCAGATGCTTGTACATACTGTGAATAGATCTAGGGATACATTTATAGATATTGAGTACTAAATAACTTGAATGCATACCGTTTTATAACCTCACATCCAACATGAACAAGATCTAAATGTACCTCTGTTAAAGTCATTCCTGATTTTAATAATGAGCTTGTTGCTGCAGCAACTGGAGACATTTCGGCCAATGATTCTGATGTCATTGGAGCAAGACCTTCCAGAAAACACATAACAGATAAGATTCACAAATACGAAATAAGAAACATTTTGTGACAGAGACAGAGAAAGAACATGACAGGCTGTGCTGCTTTTCATCTCTGCAATTTAGGTTTTTAAATCCTTCTAACTGTGATCTTGTATTAAAACATATCCGCCAACAGATTGAGTGTGTGACATTTAGTGGCCAGGCCAATATAATATGCTGTCTAGAAGACAAAATAAATTACCTCTTTTTCTTGCAGCTTCAAGTAGTTCATTAGAATTCTTGAGTTCATTTTCTAACTTAGAAATTTTGGTTTCTAAAGAAATGAAACCATAATAATCTCAATATTAACACTACCCACAACAAGGAAACAAATCTAGGAAATAAGACAAAGAAAATTAAATGATTCAATTACCCATTTCTGTAACTGTTTTAGAGTTGAATTCCTCATTCTCCTGGATCTTGCTTTTCAAGTCTAAATTTGCTGAAAGGCATAATATAAAACTACATGTAGTTCAATAAAACATATATTTATTAACTTTTTTAAGACAACACCATTCTAAGTAATACCTTCTTCTGATGCTTTTAGCAACTGCTGTAGCTCTGTCATTGCAGTAAGCATTTCTTTTGCTTTGCTTTGACTCACCTCCGATTCATGCTGGTCAACAAAGATAAAACAACATGTAAAATTCAATAAACATTATGAATTATCATATAGCATAATGGACTTTATGCAATTTGTTAGAGTAAATCATTGCATGGGTGTATCATCCCCACCCCACAATCACTTGATATGTGAACTTAGCAACAAAATGTTGCATGGAAACAGCTGACTTGAAAGATTATATCTCAGTATTTGCACAAAGAGGAATCATGAAGTCAACAGTTTTTTTCATAAGTGACTTAGCATCATGTATGACATCTTGTTTAAATTCCTTCGTTGCCCCATGACATGGAATCCAGAGCATTCCTGGATTCCACAAAGGACACTTCAAAGTTCTTTACAGTTTAACATGTTGTCTTGGACTATGTACATAGTCATATTTACCTTATAAAGCTCACATAATTTCGACTGTGAGGCCAGCTCCAATTTATAGTTTTCCTCAGATTTGACAAGCTGGAATCGAGCCTTGAATTAAAAGGAAACAATACTCATACAACACTTGTCTGCAAGTGAACATCCTGGATAGGGAATTCTTATCATAATATACCTCTTTTAGTTTGTTCATGTATGACTCAATGTTTGACTCCAGTTCTCTTTGCTTTTTCTTTGACTCTTCTGACAAGGCTTTCAGATGATCAACCTGGTTTAATAATGATAATGTTTAACAATATAATGAAATCTAGTTTACATAAATATGAATAACACAGTCATTTTTACCTCACTAGTTTTTTCCTCCAAATTACTTTGCAGCTCAAGAATTTGAGATGCCTGCAATAAAAACAAACATGATAGAGTTGTTTTTCCATAAACTTCATTTTAATATTTGTGATTTTAGCAAGAACTACAATTAGTTAATCTAATCAAAACCATACTGTAAACGTTATCATACAACAGTAATAACTAGTAATATTAACATTTACTGGTGAGGTTTTGATCTTTTTAAACTACCTTGTTCTTTTTCAGATCCGACAGTTCTTCAGTTTTCTTCTTTAATTCTTCATTTAACCAATTATTTTGTTCTTTCAAAAGATCTGCTTCTTGTTTTAAGCGATTTTCTCTGAACTGTAGTACAGAAAAATTATGTTGACTTTTATAAAATAGACAGGCCAGATAATAGAGAGTTTTAGATTCACGTTTACTACAAACGCCAAAAGTCAAATTGGTTTTTATGCTTTGTCTCAAGATTTCAAATAAACATAAAAACGCTTCAAAAGGAATAGTGATGCACTTATACACTGAAAAAGATCTATTTTATACACAATTGCGAAAGAACGGAGCGCTAACACAGAAAAACAGTGGTCACATGATCAGTTTTGACATTTGCCGTTCGCCATAAACGCGTATCTAAAACTCTCTAACAGCAGCAACACAACTATTTTTAACTTTTTTGGTATCATAACAAAATCTGTTATTAATGAAATGCTAAACAATAATATAGAAAGTACTATAGGGACTATTTCATTAACTCTTGAGGCAAAATCCAACTACAAAGGAGATGTCTATAAGCAATAGAATATCACGATATAATGTACATACTGAGAATGATGTTTCTTGGCTTTCAATCTCATCAAGTCTGGCCTGAAAGTTCAAAGGAAATTTCTGGACCATAACATTACAAAATAAAAAACAACAACATATGTATGGACATAAACTTTGTATAAAGAGGGAGTTTCACTGAATGTTTTCCATTTTTGATATTTGTTTTACTTCCAACAAATAAATGTGCCATATTAAAAAAAAAATAATAATAATAATTAAAAGAGCAATAAATACTTGTATCACTGACCTCTGCTTTAAATTTTGCAGCATTTGCATGAGAAAGTTTTTCTGACATGTTTTTCCATTCATCTGGATTAAAAAGCATTGATATTAAAAAAACTTAGCAGGCAACTCTCTATTCTGTGGAATCCCTGTGTTAAGGCAAAAAGAAGCTGGTGGGGGAGGGAAAAAAAAGCAGGAGTTTCTTAATTTCTTAATACTAATTCTAATCTTTTGATAAAAGTTCTTCTGTCAAGATTTTGAACACAGGAAGACCAAGAAGAGAAAAAGTCTGTTTCTGTAGTTGGAGCAGCCTGTGAAGGAGGCTATAAAAAACTCAGATACATTTATAATGTCACAACGTAACAATTGTGAAAAATATAAAATCATATTCTGTAGATAATGGAAACTGTATTAACGTTTTGGACATCAAGCCATCATCTGAATGAAAACTAGCAAAGGGCTAGCATCCTAAACATCAGTACAGTTCAGAGTTAATCTACCAAAGTATAGTAAATTAACTTATAATTTACCATTCAATCCTTGAATTTCCTGTGTCTTTCTGTCCAATACAGCAAGAAGTTCAAGTTTTTCATTCTCAAGAAGTTCATTTGCTTTAGCTACCTTTGTCTAGAAAACAAAATATAGAAATAAATAATTATTGGATTAGTTTTTTAGCTTTTATACCTTCTTAGATAATGCAATCAACTTTCATAGTACAATACTTTTGGGCCACAGAGAATAGTTGTCGCACAACATTTAAATATAATCCTTTCTTAATCTCACTGCAGTTTGCATTGCTATGAAACTAGCCCAGACAAACGTCACAAGTCAGTACATGCAATTAGCAGAGGCTGACGTCAATCAAAACTATTGGCATTATTTCAAACTACTGTAACTGACAGTTGGTTCCAAAGTTGATTGACAGCAGTCAATCAACTAAAAGTGAATGAAATTTATCTGGGCTTGTTGAGTAGCATTACAGTAAGTATCGATTGTAAATTTAATATCAACACAAAAACTATAATTTGAAATAGTAAGATACTTACATAATTAGCCAGTGCATCATCTTTTATGGACTCTAAATCAAGCATCTTTTTCTTTGTTTCAGACAGTGATATTTCTGTATTATTCATGAATAAATATGACTTAAATAAATGAGATAACAGATATTGTAGAAAAGCAGCCACGGAATGATTAAGGTCTTAAATAAATCAAAATTAATATACTTTTAGATTTTATGTAGAAAATTCTCACCTGAATGCTGCAAATCTGTTGTTAGATTCTCACATTTTTTCGCTTCCACATCAAGTTTGTTGCTGCAAGTAATCAGCTGCTTTTCGATCTGCGCAAACTGTTGCTCTGTTGCAAAGATATAACGTGAATTATATGACTAAATATTAACGTTTTCATCCGAGAATGAGAGAGGAGGAGACAACGTGATCACCAGCAGGTCTTGGGGATCTAACACATATTCAAAAGTTGATCTAATTATTGAATCTAACTTCTAAATACGCTCGCAAAATTACTGATCTTGCTTGATCAGTCGCATTGACTTCCAAAAACAATGACCTACCAGCATTGACTCGTGCACGGCGAAGAGCTGTCATCTCAGTGAGCCATTTTGTCTCCTTCTCAGTGTGTTGTTGAAGAGATTCTTTCACTTTCTTGACAAATATACTTGCATCTTCACTTGTTTCGGCAATCTGCATAAGATTTTCTTTTGGAATTCCTAAATTTAAAGATATAACACTGCAATCATCTTGCTCTTCTACTTCGATGGAGGACGCCATCTTGAAATGTGGCGCGCTATGTGCATCCCATAATACTATACGTAAACTGATGCTTGTGATTGGTTGGTTTGATTACACAGGAATACCAAAGATACTGGTGACAAGTGAAGAAGACGAAAGTATCAATTTCAAAACGAAAAATAATATAATATATTTAAGTTCATAATTCATTTAATAGGTTTCACTGATTAAGCGTCATGTGTTCGATCAAGAAACCACCTTACCATTTCTCTTTCCTACACCCCCCACCACTTCTCAACCTCGTATGCAACCTGACTTTGTTTGCATTCAATTCAGACACCCGGTCAGACGCCTCATTATGCAAACTGAACACAGCCTGTGAAGCATCGACAACATGTCGGTAAGTCAATATGCCATTCAAAGTCGACAATAACACTTCCCAAAAACAGAGAATCTAAGTATCACTAATATTCTATTTCCAGCTGAATGAAGAAGAGGGTGATTTCTTGAACGATGTTTTCCCAGATGATTTCGTTTGGGGTGCAGCGAGTTCTGCATATCAGGTCGAGGGAGGCTGGAATGAAGACGGCAAAGGCCCAAGCGCTTGGGATACCTATACTCATCATGTGAAATATCCAAGAAAGGGTTATAACGGCGACATAGCGTGCGACAGTTACCATAAAATAGACGAAGACGTAGCGCTTTTAAAAAACCTTGGTGTCAGCCATTATCGATTCTCAATTTCATGGCCTCGACTCCTACCTCGAGGTACAGTCGATCACGTTAACCCTCTTGGCGTACAGTATTATAAGAAACTTATTGGAAAACTCCTAGAAAACAACATTCAACCGGCAGTCACCCTGTATCATTTTGATTTGCCACAAGCTTTGGTAGATTGTGGAGGCTGGCTAAGCCGGGATGTGGTTGACAAGTTTGTGGAATATGCTCGGCTTTGTTTTCAAGAGTTCGGCGAAAATGTGAAAATATGGATGACTATCAACGAGCCAGGAATTTACTCTCGCGTTAGGTATGGAGAACGCGGGATGTTAGAACCAGAGGTAAAGGCGGAAAGTGGAGAAGGAACATATCAAGGTAAGTGTTGATTGAAAGTGGTAAATAATTTGCATGTTTTGTCACGAAACAATTCACAATGGCGGTATAGAGTGTGAAGTCTATTGGCGGTGTCACTTGCACGAGTCACCGCTAGAAAAGAATAAAACCCAAGTCAACCATAACAAGATTTACTATATACATTTGTTAATATATTTATGCTCACACCGAGTTAGCTTGAAAAAAAAAACAACTACAAAAAAAAAAAAAAAAAAACTGTAAATGTTTCCTGCCGCACCATCATCAAATTTTCTTGTCATAACAGCTGCCCATAACATGCTACTTGCTCATGCGAAAGCGTGGCACGTCTACGACAAAGAGTTCCGTCCAAGCCAGAATGGCAAGATAACCATCGTATTGGATTCAGATTTTTTTGTTCCCAAGACTGAGAGCGAAGCTGACAAGCAGGCAGCCTATCGAGGTATGCTGTGGAGTTTGGGATGGATGGCTGATCCCGTGTTCAAGGGTGATTATCCAGAAATGATGAAAACAACTATTGAAGAGAAAAGCCGTGCTAAAGGTTTGCCATGTAGGTAGGTCGACCGGCATACTGACGTACTGGTGGAGTTTTGGGKGSKGRRGGRGGKGGKGGKGGKGGKKGWAGGMCGGGAGGTGGAGGGGGTTGTATAAATAATGCAATGCATTGTTCGTGGTACGATTACCTGCCCCTGGTGTCTATAGGAAGCTGAGTGTGACTCACTATCTAAGTGTACCATCGTTAAAATCCACAATGAAACTATTTTTTCATACCTGCAGATTGCCGAGTTTTAGTGAGGAAGAGAAAAAGCTTATCAAGGGCACGGCAGATTTTTTTTCACTGAACTTTTACTGTGGACAAGTTGCTGAGCATGTTGCTTGCAACCCAGATACAGAATGGGGATACGAGACAGATCAAGAACTCAAAGGCTCTAAGAAACCGCACTGGGAAGTTGGTGAGAAAGTTTCCTAGTTTCCTAGTGGTTTTGTACCACTTTAATGCGCAAATATATCAATGTATTCGGCCGAAATATATCACGATATAAAGTGAAGCTTCACCCTAATGCAAGGTGGAAACATTGACAATTAACCTCTTTCTGTTTTGTTATACAGGTGCTGTTCCACTTTTCGTTGCAACACCATTTGCATTACGGAAAGTTCTGGTATGGATCAAAGAACGTTACAATAATCCAGACGTGATGATCACAGAAAATGGGTTTTGTTGTCAAGGAGAAGAAGAATTACAAGGCCCAGAGGCGTTGAATGACGTGGAAAGAACCGATTTTATCAAGAGATATTTAAATGAAGCACTTAAGGCTTGTAAAATAGATGGCGTTAATCTCAAAGGTTATTTCATATGGTCACTTATGGATTGTTTCGAGTGGATTAATGTTCTGGGTTTCAATGCTCGTTTTGGTATTTATCGAGTTGATTTTGAGAGTGCAGATAGGACCAGAACGCCGAAGAAATCAGCCTTCTATTATAAAGAAATTGTAGCTAATAATGGCTTCAAAACTTCGATCGGAATGAATAAATTGTAGCCTGTACTAGCGAAGGCGGGGCACCTCGAGTGGGTTAACGTTCTATACAGCACCTCTCGCTAAATTTTAATTACATGTCGAATACAAAAATTAAATTAAATTCACGTTGATATTTTTCATATGTTTTATCATATTTATCCTGTATTCTAAAAGCACGTTCACTACATATATTTTACCAAATTCACAATTTATAATAAAGTTATATTTGACATCCATGACTGTGTATCGTTTGTTTGTTTTACTCATGCTTTGAGAACAACCAAGCCCACTAGTCAGTCGCGGCGCACGCCTGGCTACGGAGGTTCAGAAGAGGAGGGAGATTGACATCCTAGGGAGTGAAGTACTTCTACATGGTTATTCTTGACACAAAACTGCGAGCTGTTGCGTTGCATAAGGAATCCAATTAATTTTGAACATGTCAAAACAATAATCAGTGCAAGGCCGGGGACGGTCAACAGGGTGTTTAAAACTTGTTCAGATCCACGGGGTAAGATTTATTTTGAGACATGGCATTTTCATTGTCAGATATATTACTTGCCAGTTATTTGTGAAGCTTGTTATCGAGTAATCGATAATACAAGTGTCCCTCGCACACAAGCAAGTATAGTAGCTTCGCTGCTCACGGGCTTTATATCCTTGTCTAACACTGCTGTGCTGCTCAGTATTATTACCGTGTTCATGCGGCACGGTCTTAAAATGCAGCGACTTTGACTTTTTATTATTATTTTTTCTCCACGTCGCAGCGAACTCAGATCCTAGGTTGGATGACTCGAGCACGTCTAAAAAAATATTTTTTTTAATTATATATCATTATCATTATTTATTTATTTATTTATTTTTAATTGAAATGTAGTTGTTCTAGGCATGCTTATTTTTTCCTATATATAGATATGTGTTTTATTATTATTTACGAGCCGTTTTTGTTACGAAAAGCCTTCACGGGGCCTCCCGTTAGTATGACAGAACCGTAACCATCAACTTGTAGCAGGCGTTCCTTGCGAGTCCTTGATATGTTTAATTTTTAAGTTGAGAAGATAAAAATCTCTAGAGAAAAACAAACAAAGTAACAACAGCAAAGAAAACAAACATAGGAAAAGAAAGAAGAAAAGAAAACAAGAA